GGAAAGGCTGCAGGATAATGCCATGGACCTAAATAGAGGCCAGGTTCCACAGTCTCCTCTTTCTGTCCCGCACGGGCTGGTTGAGCTCCCTACTAACTCCAGACTTCCCATCAGCCGCCCGTGGGCACCTCTAACCTCTCTGGAATCTGTAAGCAACGAATTTCTTTGTTTCATGCATTTTGATTTCACCTCCTCATTGTGTCCCACCTGACCCGAACCTAACTTTCCCCTGTCAGGCTCTCCTAAGTGGCTGTCTTGACTTATGCCCACACTTGACAGAGACCTCAAGACCAAATTAGAAACAAACCGTATCAATAAAAGTCACAATACCTCAACCTCCCTTCTCCACCACTTGGCTCCTCTCCAGGACACACATCCTGACTAGACTTCAGTGCTCCTTTCAGGAAAGTATGCCCACCTTTTGCCATCTCCATGCCTTTATGCAAGTGACTTCCCTGTCTGGAACATTCTCCCTCCTTCCCTCACATTCATACACTAAAATCAAACCCATCCATCAGAGACCATCTGAAGTGACACCTCTTCCATAAAAATTTTGCTAATCCTTCCAACTATTCTTCTAAATCCCATGATGTTGGGGTCCTTCTGTCTCCTGTCCCCTTCTACCTTGCAGTGTCAACTCCAAAATGTCTACAGGGGCTTCTGAGCCACAGTCTGGTTGGAAGGGAAGGCCAGGAGACTGGTCTTAAAGCAGCACTTGCATGAGCACTGCATTTTACTATAATTATATGGGGAGGGAGCTGATGAGGGTGGATCACAGAGCTGCTGTGACACTGTCCTCACCCTCACCCTGCCCCGGCCATGGAAGCTACTGACTCCTCTTTTCTTTCTCCCACTAGACGGCAAACACCTAAGGACAGAGGCTGTGTTCCTTAAGTCAGCACTCGCTGCAGGGTCGAGCCCAGTGCCTGACGTGGAATAAGTGCTTGACATCAGCTGCCTCTGGGAGGCATCCGCCCTGGAAGGAAACATGGTTTCTTCCTGTCTCGGCAGGACAAGTACGTCTGCAGTACCCATGGCTCCCCCTTGTTTCACTAAAGTCAAAGGTGGGACAGTCAGTCCTTCCTTCCTCAATATGCACCTGCTGCTCCTTTAAGCTGCCCTTTTACTTTTGAACCTAAATTTAACCAGAAAAATGTAATGGGCAGGGCACCAATCCAAATGGACAGCCCCCAGTTTCAACCCTGGGTTAAGAATAAGGCCAATTCACTCTCACATTGTCACATCAGCTGGAAAGAAAGCCTTGATCAAGTTCACCATGAACCCACTTTCTCCTTTTTTTTTTTTTTTTTTTTGTCTTTTTTACTGACCGGTAACGGGATCGCAACCCTCGGTGTTGCGCCCGCACCGCACTCAACCAGTGAGCGGAACCAGTCTCTCCACATGGGATCCGAACCCTCGGCGGGAGCGCTGCCGCACTCCCAAGCAGCGCACTCTCCAGTGCGCCACCGGGCCGGCCCTGAACCCACTTTCTGAGGGTGTGCTCTCGCCCCACAAGTCCCACCCTTCACTGGCAACAGACAGCAAACTGCTCCACACCCCCACCCAGCAGCACCTGCTCTCCCTGTGCTGGGCGTGGTGCAGCCCAGCAGAGCCCCCTCACACCGGTTGGCGGCCCACCAGGCTCACCAACACAGCATGCTTCTCTGTGTGTGTGCTAAACTCTTCCCGTTAACTAAAGGCCTCTGGAAGTAGCATCTGGGGAATCAGGCCACTGCCCAGCAAGCACATATCCCTTCTCACAAAAGGGAAGAAGCGACACAGTGGCCAGGAAGGCGTGGAAACCCCAGCTCTCCTTCTGTTTCCCTCCATAAATAGGAAGCCAGATTTTAACCTCTCCCTTGGCAACTCTGTGCATCGGGCAAGAGAGAAACTAACACACACATAAGTCCTGCACTGCCGTAGACATTCACTCCCCGCTCCCCTTGTTTCTTAATGGCCTCACTTTTAAAAAAAAAATTTTTGAACCCACGCTAGTCTATTTCCTGTTCATATTCCTAAGGAATTCAGACCCTTTGCAGTAAAGAAAGACGAGGATTCCCTGGAGCTTTATATTAGGAATGTTTCTAGACTGTTGGTTGGAAGCATGTACACTTGTTAATTTGCACCCTAAACACACTCCATGGCCTCATTTAAATCTGAGTGCTCGTGTGTGTATTCCAACTGCCTGTGCATAGTTCCAACTTAATCAGCTCCTTAATGAGAAGCATTAATATTCGTTGTCTTCTCCACGGGCGCCTACACTCATCAAGGTAAATAGCTGCCGGCTGCCTCCACAGCCTATGGTTGAGCCACGAATTGTCTGTCCTCATCTAGACAGGGGATTGTTTGTCCCCCAAGATGGGAAAACTCGGCTGGGTGCTTTCTAAAAGCTTCATTTTAGGAAGAGATGTTTTCACTCAGATCTTTTGAAATTGCCAGGCAACTTGGAAGAGCAGTAAAAAATCTGTTATGTAGGTGATAGTCGTTCAGAGACTCTTGCAGCGAGCCTACTGCATGCTAGACACAGCGCTAAGTGCTGGGGATGCAATGATCACCCCAGGGAGTCCTGTTTCCTGCCCTCATGACGTTTATAGTCTGGTGGGAGAGACCCATGCTTATGGAAGGGTCACCCTAATGAGACATAATTACAGAGTGAGGTCAGTGTTAGGAAGGAAAGGAGACAGGTTCAAGGGTTCCACTTGTGAGAGATGATGTTTGAGCTGAGCTATGAAAGATGGATTACGGAAGAAATTGGTTAGTCACTGATGTTAGGGCTGGAACCACACACACACGTACAACCCTGACATCTTGTACAACTCCTCTATTTATAGATGAGGAAACTGAGGTCCAGCACAGCTAAATAACTTACCCAAGGCCAGAGCTAATAAAGCAGCAATCCTAATACCCAGTCCCTTCCTGCTAAATCACATGAATTTTATTTATATCCCAGCTATAGATTATCCAAATACACTTGGCCAATAAAACGCAGAACGCTGAGTTAAAACCACATCCTTCAAGACCACAAGCATAAATAACGATCGTGTTTTGACGTGGATGATACCTTTTCACTTTGCAAATCCAAAGCATTCTTATATCAAAATCAAGACAGGTTGTTCTGTAAGAACGGGAAGGTCATAACCCTGTCTAAAACGGACTGGCAAATCTCTTTAACCGTGCAGTGCTAATTTGGGCGTGAGCTGTGTATCCAGGCTGACTTCACGCCCCAGCTGGGGTTTCAGATGGCGATTGGGTAACTCTTCGCTATTTCGCAGCGAGGGTCCTTCCCTGGGCTCCGACAGCCTCCTCGGGGACTTAACGCTGCGGACGTGGCCGTGTTCTCGCCAGGGCGTGCATGCGCCGAATGATGAAACATTCTTTTGAAAAACCCGTGAGATTCCACTTGCCATCCGTGCGTGTCCAAGTAAAAGCTCAGAGCGAAAACTGGAAAGAACGGCGGCGGAGCACACCCTGACCGGAGGTTACCTCTGGAGAGCGGCCGCAGCGGAAGGGAGTGCGACATGGCTTTTTTACTCTAGACACTCCTGAGTTGTGTAAAATTGTATGCAAGAACGTATTCGTGTATTATGTATGCAATACCTGTGTATGAATTATTTCAAGAAGATTCTTAAATAAATTTCAGCAGAACAAAGGTGCGTCTCCGCAGAGTGCAGCAACATTTTTCTTGGGTGTAACTGGCTTCTCCAGAAACCTCAGAGTCACTGCCCCTTGACCACCGTGGAACGGAGGGTGGAAAATGTCCACTCCACGGTATCTCCGCGGGGCGCTCGGAAAGTTGGAGGCGCCCCCAGGGGGGTCGCTGCCCTAGCCACCCACGCCCCCCTAATGCGTGAGCTCGGGAAAAGTCGACTTTCCGCCGTGCGCAGCCCCCCCACAACTGGTGCTGATGCGGGAGGGTGGGGCCGGGGCGGGGCAACCCGAGCCCGCACCCCCACCTCCTCGCCCGCGCCCTCCCTGTCAGCCCCGCCCACGCTCG